ATTTCAACTCATGGCGCGTACGCTCGAAGATAATCGATACTGTCGTCTCATCTGATTGGCGGCAGCCGATAGAGCATTAATCCCGCAGCTAAAAAATTGACACATCCTCGCTTTCGCACCTACGCGGCTGGCTTTTGTACGCGGCGCTTGCAGCGGCTACTGTCAAGCTACTTGAGCTCAGTAAAGGTGTTCCAACTCATTTCGTCTTTCAAGACTTGTGATTTAAGATCCTTCTGGTGTCGAGACAGCAACAAGCTCTCGGTATCCGTACTAGTGGATTCCATGCAAACCGTAAATTGGGCAAACAAATCGACCTCCCACTGCGAATTTTCGAAATTCCGCGGGATTAAGAATATCTCTTTTTGTTATTTTTACAGTAAGATAAGTATGCTTTTGTTCAAGCTTATTTAAACAATAATAATCAGAACAAGACAATAAGCATGATAAAAGAGCACCTAGCAAGCACGAATACTTAAATTAACCAACGATTCCGCACCTCAAGAAACGCCTGATACAGAGCCCTCTTAGGTGGATTAAGGTTAGGCTCGAGTTATAAGTGCTGTATATTCAGCGCATTATCATCAACAGTTGTATATTTTATACCTTACGTTTTTTGAAAATATTTTACTTTATTTTCTTACATATATTTAAGAGTTAAAGTGTGGTGTTTAATATTATACGAAATATCTATTAGAGGATTAGAAGGATTTATTAGGTTCATGCAAGTCTTGCAGGGTTAATTGAACTTTTATTGAGTTTGAAGGAGTAATAAGCTTTAAAAAATATATAAAGGTCTTCGCGGAAATTTGGATTTTGAGAGAGGAGGGTGTCGAAACCTAACCACGCGGGATTACTGTATAAAAATACTGTTTATAGTAACATTTGGTGGAGAAATAGCTTTGCATTTATTTTCCTTGAAAAAATTGTCAAAGGCTGTTAAAAGGAAATCCATGTCAGAATGGCGGTCTTGGAGAACCGAGGGCCGCAAGAGCGACGCAAACATTTTTTAACTCTTCCACAATCACTTCTGCAATATATTTCTGTATAGAATTT